ACTCAGTCACACACGCCAAGGTGCTTAGATGGTGGGACTTGGTAAACAGCCAGTAGACCAGTCTTAGATCGCCTGCATAGCTTGTTCAAACACACTACAGCATGTACACTGGGATGATTTGATTAAGACATTACCAACTTGACATGGTAAAACAGAATTATGGTAATAATCTGAATGTGTTTACTTGACTGAATAAAGATTGTATGCAATGATTCTAGTGTGTAGACAGGAGAAATGACATGTAAAGGCAGATTTGAAAAACAACATGAGACCAACAATATTTCAGGTTGAGGGTTTAATGTCAAACTTTCTCTCCTTTGCTCTTTTATCTCACCCTTCTCCTTCTCAAGCCCTGTCTTCTTTATCCAAACCACTCTGTCTCTTTTGTTTTCTCTCCTTCTTTACCTTGGGAGGGAAGCAGAATCTCACCAATACACACTCCATTCCTCTTGCTCTGTTGCTCTGTATTGCTTTCTTCCACTGTGAGGTTCAACCATACTTTCTCTACTGTATGTGAACCTTTCCTGTGTATCTTAGGACAGATGCAGCGCAGTGGACCAGCTCCAGCTCCTTGCCTTCTTTTTGTTTTTGCATCATCCCCCTCCAAATTTCCATTAGCATGAACTGGTGTGGTGTACGGTCACAGAGCAGTGGGTGCTGGTGCTTCAGCACAGTTGGAAAGCTGCCACCGCTACTGAAGAAAATAGAAACTCATGCACCAGATGAGACCGCGCCAGATAAATCCCAGCATGAGACGCATCAGGCTTCTCTGTCTGGGCTCAGTAATAAAGCAGGCACAAAGAAAACAATTCTGTTGCAATCTGCTTTATATCAGGATCTCTGAGGCTGTCTCCTAGGCCCACCAATTAATGTGACTATGCAGCACAGCAGTGTTAGTGCAGCCACTGCATTGGACATGGCAGGGGTAAATATTTTGCCCTGACTAGGCAAAATATTTGATGACATCTAGCTGTTGTTCCCTACAAAGGTTGAATGCACTTACTGTAAATCATGAAAGTAATGTACAGCAAAAGAGATGCACAACGTATAACTTTTCTGTGAGCTATGTGTCACTATAAAGCTGGAATTATGCTTCGCCAGTGGACAAGCTCGGTTAAGGACAGGCGTTCAATCAATCAGCCAGTTTGTTGTTGTGATTTGGGAGGTGGTTCGTTGACTCCTCTGCAACCTACAGGTGTGTTTCTTTGTATATTCTATCATCATTCCAGCTTAATCAGTTAAGTACATTCTGGCCACTTGGGAAGACAATTACGTATTTGTAAATCAATACCTTCAGTAGATTGACAACCTTGAGCCTCAGTTACTTACAAGCCTATTAGTTGTGTACGTCTATAAGTACTACTACTGCAGTTCTTACTGTGTTTAAAATCCCTTTGCTACTTGCCTCAGCTTCAATGTCAACTGTCCAAAAAAGGAGAATTTGCTAAAAGGACTTGTGAATCATGTCAATCATTTTCATTAACTGCAGTGATGGTATAATAGAGTTGTGGTGAAGGGGAATTATCACTAATTTGTGCAGATACAGACAAAATGTTTTACAGTACTGTTTTGTTATACTGATTGTCTGAGTTGTAGTTCATTATTCAGAAGAAAACATTCTATACTTGTATGTTTCCTTGGCCAGTGGAGTTATGAATAGTCTTAGAATTACATCACTAGTGGGTGCATAGATCAACACTTTTTCTCACGATTTTAAGAAACTAGCCCCATTTGAAAATAAAAATCAAAGACAGGCTGATCACAGCCAACAGCCAACTTCAACAGGTAAACTCATACAAAGCAGAGTGGAGAAATTTCCATGAAAATAGCAGGCATGTGTCCGCATGCAGCACAATGGCCAAACCGTGTATTTAGCAAAAAGCAAGAAAGGTCTACTACTTAATAAAACTGATTCCCAATAGGGAAGACCACAGATTTGGATACGCACATTAGCATGCTCACACAATTATCTCATTGTTTTTCATATTTGTGGCCAACACTCAGGGCCCTTTGAACTGCGTCATGGGTCACTAAGCTAATAGCCACCTTCCATGTGTATACACGAAACTGAGAAAGAGGGAGATAGAAAATATGTTTGCACACATGTGAGTGTGTGTGGTGTAGCTTCTAGGTCAGTGTGATCAGGGTGAAGACAACCAAAGAGAGCATGCTCTGTTCTCTCTGTCACGGTCCATTGCAGTCAACAACAGACACCGCCACTGCACGCAGCCACTGTGTGTATGAGCAGTGTGTGTGTGTAAGAGAGAACAAAAATTAACACAATAAACAGTGTGTTGTGAAAGTGAATGAATGAGTGAGTGAATATATATTGTTTCTATTAGATCATTTGCTCTTGTGTGTTCCTACTGATGGCAGCAATTAAATGTTTTGATGGCACCATCACTATTAATTTATTTCAAAAGTGGCCAAACATTAAACATGCTTTAGGATAAATCTGCAGTATGTTTTTTTGAAAGAAGGAGCTTAAGCTGCTCTATCATGCACAATCCAGTCTAATACACACACACACACACACACACACACACACACACACACTTCAACACTGAGAAAAGACCTTGGACTTTTACACTTTCCATGTACCTGTGACCAAGCACAAAACCATAATGACCGTAACATATGTAGAATAAAAAAAGGCTCAGTTGTTGCCCAACTGATGTCTGTAATTGCACTTACAGGAAACAAAACAAACACATACTGGCATGCATGCAGACAGACACACACACACACACACACACACACACAAACAGTTCCACAATGTTGCCCACATGTAAATGCTGCATATTATCATTGAGTGTTATACAAACCTGTCTTTAAGTGTTCTCTCTGTCCCATGTTTTTACAGATCTACTAAAGATCAGGGCCAGTAAGAGCTGCAGCCGAGAACTGAAGTTGGCTCTCAGTGGTCCTCTCCAATATACACCAACTTCAGATTTTTAGCTGTGCTGTTGAATTTCATTATTCTGCAAGGCTGATCCTGGGCAGCAAAATAGTCTGATAAAAACACAGTGGTGCTCTTATTATGTGGAGACCCAACATAAATAGACGTAGAACCCATGTGAGCTCAAAACTCCTAGATTAGTGGCAATGCCTAGAGCATAAAAACGGTTTCTTTTAGCTACACATCTATCATTAATCCCTCTACCTACCCATCTCTACCTCTGCCCAGGATACAATGTGGACTATGTAGACTCAAACAAGATGTGACTGTTGGGGGGATGGAGCGCTGTACATTGATTGTGGATCTCATCAGTTGTATGGCTTTCTTTTTAATTTCATCTCATGGACCATAGCTGTTTCTTTAGTTAGAACAGAACAGATATAAAACAAAGATACAAATTAGAAGTGAATTAGTGATTTATTTTTCATACCAGCTTTAAATGAAATATAAATGTAAACTGTTTGCTAGAACTGCTGGTACCACTGAGAATCAACACCATACCTGGCAGCTGACACTTTCAACTCTTGTTTTGGTTATCTGGACTGACAAAAAATTAAACTGCAGCCAACCTGTCACACCAAACATGTAGTAAAACTTCTGTTACTCTTACATTCCACAGGTGACCAGGAAGAAGATTTCTTTGAGATGTTCACATTGCCCTTTTTTGTTCAATGTGTCAGTAAGAAGCTAAAATATTCAATGTAGTGAGTGTGTTTTAGAAACCACTAGTGGCCAAAATATCATACAGCAGCTAACTGCTTAGACCATAAAATATATGGAAAAAATCACTTTGTATTTAGAGAGTTTGTTACTGTCATTCAAGCCTGAAAGTGTCACCTTTTTAAATCCTGGTTTATATGAATATTGGCAGGAAACCTCAGCTCTGGGCAGAAAGAGGTTTAGACTAAACTAGGTCAGATCCACACTTCCTACTGCAGATTCACATTTTGAAGATTACACTGGGATTTGAACTGATTCATGAAAGGAAAAATACTGTATGAATTATTAAGAATTGGTTATTGTCATGAGTCTTGTACAGTTTTACACATCCTGCTAATTGGCATTCAACTTAATTTCATGTAGCTATCTTTGAAATGATAGTATGAGTTATTCATGTGAAAATCCTCTCTCATATGGCATTTCTGTTTCGTCCACATCTCAGACATCTGCTTGTTTATCTGTCCACTTGTCACTATATTTCCTTGTTGACCAACTACATAACAGGGGCCACATTACAGGAGATGCAATCAAATCCCAAATGGATACACCATCACAAAGAACTATGCAAAAGCAAATGCCCTAATCACACGCCATCTATCACAATTGGTCTCAGCTCTAATAAGTGCTTAATTGCATTACAGCATGTAATACAACTGAGACACAGATACACAGACACAGAAACTCATTTGTCCAACTCCTCACATCATTACATATACACAGACAGGGGATGGACATCGCTCTCTCTCCCTCCCTCCCTCACAACAACATATTTATTATATAATCTGCCAGATGATTCAGGCCACCACAAGTGATGGATGAAAAGAGGCTTTTTTTCATAGACAGCACAGCACAAATTGCATCATGATATGAGAAAAGACATCGTCTGGGGTTTTTTTGATAATTGTACTATGGTGGAATTGGTTGAATGTTGTCTTTTTCCTGGTCTCAAAGGCCAACTTTGTAGGCAGCTGTGTGGAATGGAATAAATGCCTCTGGCTGTTTGGCCATCATATTGACTTTTTCACAGAAAAATCACTGACTATCTTAAGGCCAATAGTCACTGATGTGGTCAATAATGCCCAGCTCTAATTGTACACAGAATAACAAACAATCTAGACCTATAATACATTTGAACATATTTTTGAAGAAGGTTCTACAAATTTATGGTAAAACTGTAAATTTAGTTTGACTATCATATCAGTTTTCAGCAACCTAACACTGAGTCGCTATTGAACATGTAGCCTACAAGATGCCTTTATGAATATGGCATTACAACTTTCTATAATAATATCTAATATTCTGAACTGATCTGGAGGCCTACCATGGGTGAGGTCAGTCGCTTCAGGCTCTCCCCCAGCGAGTCCAGGTTCACCCGTCTCCTCCTGGTGACCCTCTTGTGAGGTCCACTGGGTCCTTGCGGCTCCTCGCCCGCCGGGCACGCCGACCTTTCGGCGGGGCTGCGGCCGTTCCAGAGCACCGCTTTGTGGGAGGAGGGGAAGGAGGAGAAGGGGCAGCCTCGGCTCTCCTCCGCCGTCTCCAAGCCGCCGTCCCCTCCGTCTCCCCCGGGGCTTTCAAGCCCGCAGTCCGAGCCCACCGAGCTGCTGAACGACTCGGAGGAGATCTTGCGCGACGACGAGGACATGGTGGTGGTGGTGAGGAAGAGGAGGAGGCTTGTGGTAATGACAGTGGTAGTGTTAAAGATGAGGATGAGAATGATGCTACAGTCGGTTCCGTACCACGTCCACCTCTACGCCGGGGAGTCATCAGATAGTGGGGGGTGAGAGGGCTGGTGGAGGGTGAGGGGGGTAAGGTCTGTCTGTATAATTATGTTGTCTATGCATATGAGATGTGTGTGCGCGTGAGATGATGTCCAGATCTGGCTGTCTCTGTGTGCATATGAAATGCGTCTGTCTGCGTGTGAGACTCAGCAATCCATTCAGAGGAGGGGGGGGGGGGGGGGGGGGGGGGTTGACCGAGAACGAGAGGACTAACGGCACGCAAACATTTATGTAAGGGGGAGGAGGAGGTGGGGGGATCGCCTCTTCAAAATCGTTCTCCTTTACCCCTCAAAACAAGTCTATCCTGCGCCCTGGGATGCCAAACACTCACCTAAGGATGCTACAAATTAAAAATATAGGCTATAAACAGAGAACACCTAGGCCTATCAACAGTATTTTTTAAGCCGTTTTTTAGCCAACTCGCGCAGCAACTATGTTAATGTTACATTAACTGGCGAAATTGCAAATTAAAAAATTACAAAAGGTCGCCAAAATCGACATGTTGGTAAACCACGGTAACTGGGACACATCATTCCTCCCACACACGGTGAATTTCGGCATTCGAAGAATGTGGCGTCTCCCCACTTTGCCGGAGAGAAACCCCCAAAGTCACGGCAGATGTGCCTCCGTCTCTTCTCCTCCTTCTCCTTGTCCTCTGCGACAGCGGTTCTCCTGACTGTCTACCAACTAAGCGTCCTCTCATCATCCGTCCATCATTCACTTAGCCTATATTCCTTCACAGCCGGCTCCTCGGCTTTTGATGCGTCTTGTATCTTTCTGTCATCGCTCGGAGTGCGCTGGCAAAGAGGTGGCTGGAGCGGAGATGCGCGAGATGGGCAGCAGCAGAGAGAGAGAGAGAGAGAGAGAGAGAGAGAGAGAGAGAGAGAGCGGTCAGCCAACGGCAGCAAGCACCCGCAGATGAGAGCGATCATCCGAGCTCGCGCAGTGAAGTAGGCTACGCATCAGCGCGCTATTCTGCTTTTAAGTTGGTCAATAGGCTACACCAATGACAGGATAGATAGATAGATAGATAGATAGATAGATAGATAGATAGATAGATAGACAGATAGATAGATAGATAGATAGATAGATAGATAGATAGATAGATAGATAGATAGATAGATAGATAGATAGATAGATCTTACATTAACCAAATGGCCTGTTTATTTATTATCTAGCCCATCTTATCTTTCAGTGTCCGCATGGTCGTCCTAACTCCAGGAGCCCCACAAGCCCCATATTTACAGCATAAGCATAAGCATAAGTTGGTTTTGGTAGTTTAATTTAAAATTTACAATCAATCAACGATCAATTAAGGTGTCCTGTGGTGCCCATCTTTAGAATGGCCCTGTGCCAAAATTTCATTATATGTCTTTTATATTTCAGTTTATGTTGTGCACACATGGTGCATATTCCCAAATGAAGTAGGCCTAAATAAAGCCAAATTGCCACAATCTAAGTGACACACTGAAAACCTTGAGCAATAGGCCTATTCAGTCATATTAAGACTGTGTGATGTGGTTTAAAGCTCGCAGAAAGAAAGTAAGTGAACCCTGAGTCAGAGTTTTTGACAAACTACTGTTTCCAAGGTCAAAAATACACTGTCATGGATCATGCCATGGATCAAAAGCACAACAGCTCACAAGTCAACAGATCCATCTCCGTGACAACTTCCTTAACTCCATCAGCTGATGAAGACTGTGTGATATGGTTAAAAGCTCAAGGAAAAAGCCAAGCGGACCTTCATTAGGGATTGTTTTGTCCAAAATTAGGGCTGGGCACATTAACGCATAAGGCATTAATTAATTAACACCGACAATAATTTTATCGCATGTTAATGCAGTTTTTATTGTTATTATTTTGAAAGTCCGTTGCTCACTGGCACACAAGGTAGCCTAGTTGCTTGCCCCGCGTAGCTCTGCATTCCTCAGGTGAACAGGAGACAAGCGCTCCGCCAGTAAATGGCAGGCGCTCTATGGACAGTAACCATGGCAACGGCTACACAGCTGTAGCCTATTTAAAGCCCCCCTCCAGTATATTTTGACATTTCTATGATATTTCATTTCATAGAAATTTATTCACAAATAGCTTAATTTTGTGCTCAAAGTTGCAAAAATTTCTGAGTTGTTAAAACTGGGTTGTGACGTATGACTATAGTAATTCCATAAGTCATACATCATTGTCCAAGCTTGCGCAGGCGCACTGTTATGCCTCGTTAAAAAAACTGTCACGCCTCCTTAAGTCAGAGCATCAAACCAATAAACATCGTTGTGAGCTAGCTAACCAATTTATCATGTAATTTACTTAGAACTTACAGTAGGTATGTCTCTCTGTGTCTGATTGTTGGTTTCTCTGTCTAGTTTAGTTAGCTAAGTTAGCCAGGTGTAGTTAGCTAGCATAGTTATTTCAGAAAGTTAGCTAACAGAGGGTCTTCATTTTAGTTTTTGGTTTCCTCCTCTTGGTTTAGTGTGCTTTTCATTTTCATTATGGCATTTGTGCGTACGGTGTTGGAGGACAGATGACAACACGAAAACACATCACACTTTCACTTGCCACCTTCTTATGTTACAGTCTGCAACATGCATTTGCTGACGGCCGTTTTACCAATGCATCAGCAGAAGAATGGTATCAGAAGTCTTTACATACAGTTAGAGTAATAGACCTACTGATGATAACTATCTAGCCTACTTTAGGAAACAGTAGCCTAATAGATTCTGGAAACTCACAAACAGGGAGGATCAGTCTCTTCCAATTATTTGTGCTCCCGTTGTGTAGGCTACAAAAAGATTTTTGTATTCAAATTCAACTTCGGCAGCGGGCGGGCGTGTGCGTGAGGCGACCACTTCACCTCACTCTAACAGGGAAACTTGCTACTGAACATAGATTGTTGCTCCCTGTTAAAAGAAAAATGTGTCTGCTGATACCGGTTCAGAAAAAAAACAAGAAAACAGATTTATATAGGCTATGTTAATCGGTCGCTCCAACCCGGTGCCTGTTATTGTGGCTCTGGGGCCAGATTACAGAAGTTAAGTCTTAAGTTAAGATAGGAAGAGTCTAAGATAGGATTTTTCTCAATTTGGTATTACAGAAGCAAATCCTAACTAACTTTAGGAATCCTATCTTATCTCATGTTAAGAAATCCTAAATACTCAATCCAACATCGGTTATCAACTTTTATGTCTGTTACCTAGCAACCGATACCACTTTTCTCATCCCGCTAACAGCGGAGCACTGATGCTGTCAAAAAGATAAAAATTAAGAAAATAAGTCCATTTACACTGATATGAAGACACAGGCCACTGTAGTGTCCAAAGAACAGATGAAACCGCTGGTGGCTCCTCCTGTGGACCCTCGCTGACCCCGGCAGAAACCCGTAGGCTACTCTTCTCGGGAAAGTTAATAATGACGGTAAGAAAAATAGGCTAATAATCATAATAAAGGCTGTGGGCTAACGTCATCATGTTTTTCATGTAGGCCTATTTCTTGAATTTAATGATCTACTCCTATCAAAGACTTGCATTAGGATCCTTTTGTTACATCAAGCCTTTACATTATGTTACATAATGAGACATTATCTAGCGTTACATCGACTACAGCCTTTCTACTAGTGTTTTGTCATCAAACACATCGGTAGAATCAATTAAGTTCCACCTGTTGACATTTTGTTGATTTTGTAAAAGTAATTAAAAAGCAATCATGTGGATTAAGCTAAAGAGTTAGCAAACACTACCTGGTGGAAAAGTAAAAGTTAGGACAGCTTAACAGTTATAGAGTTTATTTAAGATTTTACAAAGTTAGGATGCTTCTGTAATACACTTTTCTTATCTAAAGTTAGGAAAGGAACATTGACTTAGGAACTGTTAATCTGTAGGCTAATTGCCTAAATCAGTTCCTAACCCTTATTACCAATGTTACCAAGCAGTTAGGATATGATCTGCCGGTTAGGAAGTTTCTGTAATATTGCCCCAGGACTCTAACTTGTTTTAACAAGCTAGATAAAAGGTAATGCCCTGGCAGTGGCAAAAAGCTTTGCTTTTAAATTTGATTTGATTAAGTTAAAGTTTAAGTTGAGATTTACAAGAAATATTTTGTTACTGTGTAAAGGGAATAGCCTACTGCTAGTAAAAAGCATCGTATTTGTAAGTGTTTGCAAATCACATGTTTTGCACTTTTGTGTATATAGCAGTATATTTAAATGACAAGAGTGCAATACACTACTTTAGAATTGATTATTCAATTTTGCGGATAACTATGCAATTAATCGTGATTAAAAATTTTAATAGTTGCCCAGCACTATCAAAAATATTATTCCAGCATAGGGACTGTATACATATCTAGTCTCAGCATGTAAAGCAGCTGCTATGTCTGCTGTGTGCACTGTACGGGAACAGGTGAGGGTGGGGAGGGTCAATAGGGGCCCCATAGGAAATCTTTGCCCTGTGGCCAACTAATACATTAATACTGCCGTGTCTGTGGAGAAAAATCAGTTTTGTTTCAAAAGTGTAATTGAAAATAAAATAAATTACAGTTGTTTTGTAAATTGTTGGGTAAGTATTCGTCATACATTTACAGTGTCCTATAAATGGTGCCATCTTGGCGTGCAACAGACAGGTGATTGTTCCTCAATTAACTGTGGAAATAGCAATCAAGCAACATCTGATTGTAATCAAACAACAGTCATGGCCAATAATCCAAGTTCATGGCAACATGCCAAATGTGTTCTACATGGATATACAAGGACAAATATGGCTCCACAGGCAGATAATGGAGCTGGCAGCGGTGGCACACGCTTGGTGCCTCCCATCAGAGAACAGAATGGTGCTTGTGTCTGGCACTAATCACAGCCATGACCTTGACCTTGATTGGCAGAGCATGTCCGTTCATTAAGGGCCCCAAAGTGACAAGCAGGGAGACTCTGAAACAGACATGATGCATCATGCAAGTTCATGCACGTGGGCGTTCATGCACACACACCCCCCACACACACACACCCCCACACACACACATACACACAAATGTAATTTCCTGGAGGTGCCTACTAATTCATTTGACTTTCTGGAGCAGCATGACCCCAATGCATTGCACAGAATTTTGCTCCTTCTCTCTCTCACACACACACACACCCACACACTCTCTTTCTCTCAAACATAGCCTGCACTAACACACAAACTCACACAGTCC